ACTTTCCCCCTATAAAAATGTCAACCCCAAAAATATACGAAAGGGGGTATACTTAAATTTTCAATTATCGCGTGACCGGAAAATGCGTAACATAAATTATTTTCATATTTTTAGGAAGATAAGGAGTTTTTCTACGAAATATCAAAATTTCATAAAATTTCGTGAGGGGCCGAAAAGCGGCCTTATCGAAACTCCCCCTTTGCAGCCCTCCTCCGGCAAGTGGTCAATATGAGTGAAAAATTCTCGAAGGAACGTTAAACAAAACAAACAAATTAAAAGGTATTTCGATGATATTAATTTGTCCTCAGCTGAGGAGGTAAAAGTATTGTCGCCCTCTGATTTATAAAAAGATCTAATAAAGTCTCCTCAAGAACACCTTGTCAATGATTAGTCATATTAGTATTAACTGCAAGCATCCTATTCAAGTTTGTTCAAAATCATAGCCCCAGGAGGTGAGAGAACATATTTCTTAACGCTTTCATTTAAGATAGTACACAATAGAAAGGCTAAATTTTTCCTGAAATTCAATTCTTCTGAAACTTTGATATTTTGTTCTAAGATTATACAAAATCCTTCTTTATATGTAATGTGAAAGAAATTCAACCGCACATTTTTTGCCCACATAGTGTGAATTATGGCCTATCAGACCCCTGTATGAAGATTATGAAATCAGACATTCGACTTGAGAATGTGCCTTATTTAAAATTTATCAATTGATCTATTGCAACTTGTGTGATGCTGTTTATAAAGGCAACCTTTTTCTCACTAAAACTCAGTAAAATATTGATACTGGTAAATTTGAGTAAAATATGATGCAAAAATAGATCATACATAGTCCTGGAATTGAAAATTCACATGTAAATATTCTACACTGTAAGTTCTCTTATAAGAAAAAAAATGTATGATTCAATTTTTACAAAAATTCAATAGAATGTTTTAAATGGATCCCAGAAAAAAATGTCAAAACACGGAAAATTGAACCAGTGGTTTCTGATATTTTGGCGATTAAAAAAAATCATGGCAAAAAAACTAAAAGATTCAGTAGATTACGTCACAATATTTGACCTTTGACTTCTTAATATGACCTTGACCTTTATTGTACATAACGAATGGGGACTCCTTATATATATGTACAAATATTAGCCATCTACTATTTATGGATCAAAAGTTACACTGCACTTAAAAACAGACTGTTATATTTCTTTTAGACAGCAGAAAGACATTCCAAAATCTTGGCTCCCAAGTGACCAATATATAGGACGTCTTTGATATTTTTTTTAACAAAATATGACAAAAACATGTCACAACTTATTATTTTCCTTACAGAGGTCATTGATTGCTAACAATATAGTAATATTATTCTTTTTTCTCGTGTACTTTTTAAGAAATGAGTTAAAATAGATCTCAAGGGTGTTTTGTACTATCCAAGTTCGTTTAATTCATGGCCATGGGGTTTTATGTTTTCATATAAGAGAGTCAGTCTTCCCGCAGTACACTTTCATTTATCAATAGCAAAGTCTTCGTGAGTTCGACGATTAAAGGAGGACAATTACATTCTATATAAAGCCGATTTCACAGAGGATCCATATCTAGTAAATATCTGTAAGGTTAGCCAGAACTCTCATCGGAATACCGTTAATTCTTTTCTTTTAAAACCCAAATAAATGCTCACTTTGGGCTTTATTTTTAAAAAAATATGACCATATCTGAATCAAACTTGTCTAGAGTTTAAAAAGGTATTTAAATATTATTTTTGCCCAAAATCCGAGGAAAGGGCGGGGTGGGGAGGATGGAAAGGTTAGTATTGTCGACCTCTTATCTGACCATTAAGAATGTTTTCGGCACTTCAATGAAATAACAAAATAAGACCACTTTTTTCAGCACAATGTTTACCGAACTATATAGTAAACATTAAGCGACCAATAGTCACCAAAGCATTAATTCAACATAAGGAATCAATCAATTGCCTCTCTTCGGCTACTGGATGGCGACAGTGTTCGAGAATTGGAATTGTACCGGTACCCGTAAAATGGAAAGTGGAATTGTACCAGTACCCGTAAAATGTATGGAAAGTACCATGCCCACCTGTATGCCATACAAAAAAACTGGCGAATAAAAGCGCTTTCTATTGAATCTTGGTTTGAAACGAGTATTTGAGCCATTTTCTTCACACTTAAAACAGAGTCCGGGAACTGGCCCACTTGAAGTCATTGATGTTATTACAATTCTATCAATATCTTGGACTTTCAGTAGACGGTGACGTGTTAAGGACGACGGACCTAATTCGAAATTTCGAGCCACTGCGCAGAAAACCGCGCATATGTCTTGAATCAAATTGACTTAATTATGTATTGCAAAAGATAAAAATACACATTTTTAATTCTTTTAAAAATACTCAAACGTTTCCTCTCAATTCAAAAATATTGTAAATATTTCGATTTATATTAATTTGTTTATTTTATAAATAAATGATTAACTTGGCCATGGTATTTTCATTGAAAATTTCCCCCAAAATGTGCCCTACAACTGCGTTTGACATCCCCCCCCCCCCCTGAAAAATCTAAGTCGATGGCCCATTTATTTTTTGGCATAATTTGCTGGTAATTTGTCTAGTTATTATTGTCCTTTAATACGAATAAAAATTCTATTGCAGAATTTTTTCAATGATCACTCTTATACCCTACACTGGAAATTTCCCGTTATTTCCTATAGTAATTATCGATTTCCATCGCCAACTTTTGAAATGCTACCCATTAAAAATCTACATCGATGACCATATGATTTTTTTTTATTGATTTTAACTCACCAAAAATCACTTTACCTCATAGTAAAATTTGAATAAAAAATCTTTTTCAGAAATGAATTAGGTCCGTCGTGGTTAATTATAATTTCGTCACATCAAACAGTCAAACAGTGGAACGGGATCTATTCACACTAGAGCAAGCATTAACATAGGGAAGTTAAGTAATTTCACCGAGTTTAGTTGGAGTAAACTTTGTTTCCTTAAGATTATGTCCTCTCGGTGTTTATCAGCAACACCCTAAAGTCCAAGTTATCAGTAGAAATATTCTAATGTTCAGCGTTAAATTTTAATTATTCAAGGAATGAATTTAACAGCTACCCAAGTTTAACTGTATAACCTGGGCTGGGCCAGTTTACGCTTTATAAATCGCGAAACGTTTATAAAAAGCGTAAACTGTTCCAACCAAGGTTTTACAGGTATAACTTGGGTAGCTATTTATTTTATTCTTTATAATCTAATTTTTCATCATAAAGTGTAGAAAATAAGACAATTTCTTCTTCAAAAATGCCTTCAAATTGAACATGATTTAAGGTAACGTCAAGCGGATTGATAAATTTTTGACGTAAGTCATTGCGACGAAGGCAACATAGGTTATATATAAACTAATTTCATATAAACTAATATAAGCTAATTTTTTTTATCCAATCAATGAAATATGGAGAATATGGAAATAATGAACAATAATCAAACTCAAAAGTCCATTGAAAGAAAAAAAAAAAAAAAAAAAATGGGGAGCAGAGCAAATGCAGACCTCCAAAAACATCAGAAGCGGGATCAGGTGCCACGGAGGAGTAAGCATCCCCTGTCGACCGGTCACACCCGCCATGTGCTCCTTGTCATGATCGGGCAAACGGAAAAATACGCAGCAATTTCAGTGTGTAAATAATGGCCTAACAATTAGTATGAAAAACATCAGTCAGCATTTGACCTAATGATAGTTTGTATTTGCTGATAAGGTCATTGTATCGACCATAGAACTTACGAAATGATGACTTCAAACGAGACTGTTGATATCCTTGTTTCATTAATTTGTTAGTTAATATCTTGTCTCGTTTTAAAAATTGATCGGACCTAAAGCATGCTCTTGCGTATCGAATCAACTGGGAGACATAAACCCCATATGCAGGTGATAAGGGTATGTTGCTATAAAAGTAAGGGAAGTTGATGATAGAAAAGTTGAAGTCATCACGTTTATCATAACGTTTTGTTGTAAGGTTACCATTAACGTCTTTTTCTTGTAAAATATCCAAATATGAAACAGACAGACTCTGTGGTGTCTTTTTTTTCAAGTTCACTGGGACACATCGAATCGACATACTATTGTTAATTGATAATGCTTCGTCGATGTATTTTAATGTCGAATTTAGACATTAGAATTTAGACATAAATGACGCGTTACAACAAAAATTAAACTATTTAAAAATATTGCCGAAAAATTTAATTTTTCCTTTGATATACGGTTTATGGTATTATACTCGGTACACAGTGAAAAAGTAAACAGTTTTTTCGACGAATAACATGTACATGTATTTTATAAGAAAGCTTCAATTGAGACGTAATAATAGCTGTAAATATACGGGCACACATGATATAATTATCTTCATCCTCTATCCATTCTGCGCATTAGTTCTGTTTGTGCACTCACGCTATGACAAAGAGAACGATTTTCTCGTAATTGTTTTACTTACGTACATTTATCATTTTACACATTACTTACAAGTTAAGAAAGAAAATATATATCATTTCTTTAACTATCAAGCTGGGAAGATATACGTCATAAAGGGAAAATACCATCTTTATGGCATATGCCTTTATTCCGTCAAGCTGCACACCTTTACATTGATTTATTAACTGAAATTAAAGCGGAAGTTGTTATAAAATGGAAACACGGAAGTAATTTAAAAACTGAATTAAGGAATTCCGCCTCCTGTCTGCCTTTCAGAACATTGTTCTGCAATGAAATCATTAAAACAGTCCATAATTCCTAATTTATTACAAAAAAATCTAACATATTCACAAATAAATAAACTCAGAGCATTTTGTACACAGGTAATATGCAGGATTCAAAACCCGCTGTATTTGATTGAATAAATATTTAAGGTGAGTTTTGAAATAAACAAATATAAAAAAATATGCTGCAAACATAATTTAAAATAGAAAACATATATATGAATCTAAATATGAATTAATGAAGCTAATCAATACATAATTTCCAGTAAAGTCACAGATGTAAGACTAATCATATGCAAAGACATGAATGCAATTAACGGTTTTTAATTAAGATGAAATGATTTTCAATAAAATAAATAAATCTACAGCTAAACACACACATAATTACGTCCAAGGGACAGATGTTAACGTTTTTCAAATAATAGCTTAACACCCACTATTCGCCGCTGGACACGTGTTTTTTTTACGATATACTGTATGAGTGCAGAAATAAAAGACTAGATTTGTGGACGTCATAATTGCACCTTAGACACACACAAGGGGTTTAACACTTATAAGAACTTTCCCTTTTTCCAGAGAAAATGCAGATTAAAATATGCAATGTTTTCGTAGCAATGACATTTGGGTTAACTTCTACAATAATAAACAAAAACAACTTTATTTTAAACGAGCCAATGATTAGCTTCTTAGAAAAACGAACCTTTTACTTATCTTATTATTATTCACGCGTAAGTGAAGTGAATGAACGGTATTAACATATAGACTACACTTCGCCACGCACATCAGCTCTAGAAAAACAATAATAAATTACAGATAGGTATTATGAATGGTTAAAAATTGGATACAACAGCAAAATCTACAAACAGAATACAAATGAACAATATAAATATTAAACATGCAAAGGTCTGATAAAAAAGATCAAAAAGAAAAGAAAATATTCATTTTATAAAAGTCACAATTCGAAAGCTCATTTGTATGACCTGAGACAGTTTGATATCACAGACATAATGGGTCACGTGTTCCTTAGATGTTCCTTAATTACCTAATGACTTTTTTTCATTTAATGGGCCATGACAAAGTAAAAACCTACATATCAGCAGATTTGTGACTCAGGTCATGGTGTGTTACTATGACCTATAGCCTTGAGTAATCTTGTCCAGCATCTAAAAATATTTCTGTTCCCTTTCCTCTTTAGGTAGAATTTATCATTGAGTCAGACCTTCTTTTTTGTTCTCTACGCCTAACTTTTCCTCCTACACAATCTGCTTACATTTTATACAATCTTCGTTTAATTCACATATGTAACGTAAATCAATGTCTCATCGAGGCCAACTTCTGCTAATTTATACAATTTTCAGTTTAAATATCTACTAAGGGATATCTTTCAGTCAGAATCAAATAGTTACAAATTGTAGATCCTCCTAGGACACCTCACGCCCCTCGTTCCTTTAATGATCCCTCTCCTCTGGCGGTCTATAGGGCACCCCTAAGTGTCTGAACACGGATTCTTCTGTTGGCGTAGGAAGAGGAGTCCCCTCAAACACTTTTTCATTGCCCTGAAAGATTTCATCTTTCATTTCATACAGGAAGTCAAAAAGATAAGTGAATATAGAAGTCTGAATAAACATAAAGCTTTCACGAAGGACTATGAAGACAACGCAATTAAAGAAACCTAGTAAGGCACCAAGACGCAGAAATCCGTAGAAAAATGAGGCGTAGAAAATCACCTGAAACATTCAATAGGGAACAGATTTATTGTAGAAGTGAACCCTCTGTAAAATTGTAATCTACTGATTACTTCAGGTGTAAAACTGTTTGAATTTACAAAATGAAGGAATGAAGGTAGGATATATATATATATATATATATATATATATATATATATATATATATATATATATATATATATATATATATTTAACATAAATTAATATATATATATATAAATTAAAGAACGCAAAAACGTGTGTTTCCAAAAACATTGATTTCTTGGGACCTCTGTCATATATCAAATGCCTTAAAATGGATGGTCAGAGGATAATCTTATATCAATATCAAACATCTATATATATATATATATATATATATATATATATATATATATATATATATATATATATGACAATCATTAATAAAATTATAATAATAATACAGGGTTAACACGTGATTTCCATCACTTGTGACAGAATTTGGAGGTGACCTGCCCTTCACACTTACATGTAGGACAAGAATAATTAAATTTCAGTATTGCATCAGGGCTGGCACGAGATACAGTGTGTATTTTTTATCATTATGTACATCCAATAATATTGAATTCTGCCTGGAATCCTATATGATGTGTTCAGGAAGAAAAATTACTTATATACGTCATATACAGATTTCTGAGCGCAGATTGTCAGCGGGAAGCTCGTTAGGTTTTGGCACATACTGATGTAAACTGATAACTTCACAGTTTATCAGATAATTATAATGTTATAAAATTACAAAAAAACCTATATTTGTTTAAACCTCCACTGAGGTAGTAAAAAGTAATTAAGAATAAGAAATTGTAGAAGTAAGAAGTATTGATATGACTTTAAAAAAAATGTGCAACTTTCGTTAACTGCCAATCAAAATATTTATAAATCAGTAAATCGATTGCTTAAAGCCAAAACCACTAATTAGAAAAATCACCCTTCTTTTTACCATCATAAAAGTGCATATCTTATCGATAATGAGCTGCACTGAAAACATCAATTTTGTCGGCGGTTCTCGAATGCCCTCAGTCTGGCACCTTGACCTTTCAGCTGAGGTCACAACAGTTGATTGAAAATCAATTAACCTGTCTCGCTTGGTAGATAAGTATATGCAACCACTTCATTTGAAATCCTTGATGTTTCCGCAATAAATCACCGTCAAAGCTAACCATTAAGTCTATCTAATGAAGGCCAATAATTATGTAATTTTTAATTATACAACAGAATAATGACGGATAGAAATCCCGGGGAATAAATGATTATTTTTAAGATTACTAAGAAAGCTGACTTTGCTGAAAAGTGACAGAAGACCCAGCGTTTGTTGTATCCTGTAGCTAATGTTTTGTATTCTACGAGAAATTTGCGTGATAGTAAAATAGACAATAGTGTTTGAAAAACTTGCTTGCGGTTGTCGACTGTATATGAAATATAGTTGGGCAATATTGTTAATTTCAATTTAATGAATGAGATACATGAATATATATTATTTGGGCAATATTGGACATTCCCTACTTCCTTAACAAGAAAGATAATATTAATACAAAAGATGAAAATTACTGTAAGTTGTTATGTGACAGATAATGCTGGGAAAATGTTAGTCTTTTAATGACAAAAATGTCTATGTGGAAGATAGTACAAGGTCATAAACTAGGCTACTTTGCAAAAGGCACTTTTATTCACTTTTAAGTTGGCTACATCGTGTAAAAACAATATTCTTCATACATGCAGATCACCCTGTAATTACACAAGAAACAGTCTATACTATATACAATGCTACATTGCAAGACAGGTTAATTCTATATTATTGCAGGTTGCACTTATGAAGAACAGGATAGTATAGAAATTAGAAACTAAGTCTATAATATTATGCCCTGCACTTTCATTACAGATTAATATAGAGACGAAGTTCCGTTAAAATGCACTTTGCACTTGTTATATTGCTGCATTTACACGACAGATTCATACAGACACAAAGTTTCTACATGATATATAGCTTGCACTTGCACGGCAGTTTTATACAAAGTTCTGCTATATTGCACACAAACTGACTTACACGACAGGTTCTTATAAAAGACAAAGTTCTGTTATATTGCACACAAACTGACTTACACGACAGGTTCTTATAAAAGACAAAGTTCTGTTATATTGCACACAAACTGACTTACACGACAGGTTCTTATAAAAGACAAAAGTTCTGCTATATTGCACACAAACTGACTTACACGACAGGTTCTTATAAAAGACAAAGTTCTGCTATATTGCACACAAACTGACTTACACGACAGGTTCTTATAAAAGACAAAGTTCTGTTATATTGCACACTTACACGACAGGTTCGTATCGAGACAAAACACGCTGCACGTACACGGCAGTTTTATACTAAGTTCTGTTACATTGCAAACTGCATTTACACGGCAGGTTCATATAAAGACAAAATTGTATATTATATTACACGTTCCACTTACACGGCAGGTTTATATAGAGATGAAGTTTCCTTATATATAGCTGCATTTACATGGTCAGTTACTATAGAGACAGATTTCTGTTACATGTACACGCTAGACTTGCAAGACATGTCAACACAGAGACAGAATTCCTGTTTTACAAAACAGAGTGCAGATCTAAGCCTTTCATGACATGTCACTTAATCCCCTTATGTATAAACACAAGATAACAGAATAATTATGAATTATTGGTATTTGGCTTTTATAATATATTGAATATGTCTGAGCAACAGAAACAAGATATTGTTAATAGAAACAATATGAATTTTGAAGCTGATGATCAGTATGAAACAAGAGATAGCCGCGATTAACCGAGAACTCGTTGAAATTCCAATAGGTAGAACAAAATTAAGTTGACAACATAACATAATGTTTGCGTGTCTTTGGTGATATAAAGAACAAAATTAATGTCTTCAAATGTCATACAATATTATGTGTTCTTAACAGTGGCAGATTCGGAAAAAAAACAAAAAGGTTTTCGAAGGTAGTACAGTAAAACCTGTCTAATCTGACAAGCAGTGGGAGACAAATTCTGTGTCGGAATAGACAGGATATCGGATTGCACAGTGTAAAAAACAAGGAAAATAGTAAAAAGGGAATGAAAATGAATGTTGGAATTCACAGTGAAACGGACTGCACAGCTGTCGGGTTTGATAATTTTTACTGTATAAGTGTGGAGAACAGCTGTACTTCAATGGTGGACTATTAAAGCTACATCACAAGAAAATTCAACTTTGATGCTCAACTTTTTTTGTCAAGTCCACTTGCACGTGTAAATGTTGTGTATGCTTTGTGTACTACTATTATTCTTTTTCAGAATTGAAAACAATTCTGGCATACCTTTCTAATGACTCCTGTGTTCAGGGAATGTTCCGACAAAGACATCCCTGATTTCTTTGCTAACAACCTCAGGGATCTGTTTAAATGAGCTGATCCTGTGAAGTAAACCAAGGCGCATGCGTATTCGTCATATGGCACAACAATGATATCAATTCTTCGATGCTAAAAAGAAAGAAATATATCAATATATTTCGAATTCAGAATCGTATGTTGTGCATGGTTATATTATGGTTTGTCCCTAGTAAAACTTGATTATGTGGGTCAACTGTATACTAAGTAAATTATACAATGAAATATGGAGATAATGAACAGTATTCAAGCTCAAAGTTCATTAAAACAATACAAATCGGGAGCACAGCAAACACGGACCTTCAAAAACATCAGAGGTGGGATCAGGTGCTATAGAGGAGAGATCATCCCCTGCCAACCGGCCACACCCGCCGTGTGCTCATTGTCATGATCGGGAAATAACGGAAAAATCCGTCGACAATTCTTTGTGTAAATAATGGCCTAACAATTAGTGTGAAAAACATTAATCAGCATATGACTGAATGATATACTTTATTTGCTGAAAAGGTCATTTGTATCGACCATAGAACTTAAGACATGATGACTTTAAACGAGACTGTTGATATTCTTGTTTCATCAACTTGTTTGTCAATAACTTACCTAGTTTTAGAAATTGTTCATACGTAGAGCATGTTCGTGCTTAACTGAGAGATATAAACCCCATATGCAGGTGATAAGGGTATATTGCTGCATAAGTAAGGGAAGTTCACGATTCAAAAGTTGAAGTTTACCATAAAGCTTTGTTGTTAGATTACCATTAACGTCTTTTTACTAGTAAAATATCAAAATATGAAACAGATGTGTCAGACTCTGTGATATCTTTTATTTCAAGCTCACTGGGATATATCGTGTCGACATATAAATAGAAATAATTACTGTTAATTGAAAATACGTTGTCGATAAAGCTAAATGTCGAGTTGAAGGCCACAGCAAAAGATTTCTTTTTCTCACGTATAAGTTATAAATAAGCGTAGAACTCATGATTGATTTTTACATTCAGTATTCAGTATTTGTTATAATTAATATAGATCCCTTCACAGGAACCAGGGTTCTTTTTTTCTCAAATCATAAGAATAAAATTTTGGCAGGGGCGGGCCTGGGGGAGCAAGAAGACCAGGAAGAAAATGACTCATGCCGAAATTATACATTTCAAACACGCATATTTACTGATCAATGAACAGGTCTAGAGTGGAATAGTAATGAACTGTCAATAATTTATGGGATGTCGAGCACGACTTTTCAATCATGCTGCCTGAGAGGTGAAAAGTAAGACAGGCTTTTAATTTAAAATGTCAAAATCATCATTACTTCATGGATTAATCTCCATCTAAACTCATCTTAAATCAGTACAAACTGCATTAATTGATTTAAGAAGTAAAGCCTACATAGGCTACATGCAGTATGAAACTATGTAAATCTATCTACGATGGTATTGGCCTTTCTGTGAAGTAAATATTTTTTTTTTTTACAGCTAAGCTTTGTGAGAAATAATACAAGCATGCACAACCTGACATTCAACATCAAACAGGGTATATCATTTACTTTTTGGTTTTCCCCTGGTAGTCGACAGACCCCTAGATACTTCTTCTGACTTCCGTTGTCCTCGGCGGAAACAAGATCATCCGTCAGGAACCCTGCAAGTACATAATTTACAATCAATCATAGAAAACCGAGGCTTTATAAATACTGCAATATAATAATTTGAATTTTTTTAATACCTACTATAGATTAGACACTTATTGGAAAATTGAAAAAATTGTCATCTTATTACAATGTAGTTCAATGGTAAGATATTTTGTTCAAAGGTCCACTGTACTTAATGATAAATGGCATATCATTTTTTTTTAATAAGCGTTATATTGTACTGGAAAAACACAGGGATCACAAGTAATATAATAACTAAGGCACAAGTAAGGTATCCTATATCACCCGTTATTCTAGCAATATGATTCGACATAATTACCAGTAAGTAATTAACCCACGATACCCGCCGTCTTGACGTCATTCATAGATTTTCTCCCCTTTTTGAATAATTAAAAAGAGGAAAATGATACATTTCCCTCTCTTTTTTTTTGTTTGCTATAAGAGCTGCTTTTTAAGGCATGATAATTCTCTTGCAGTAAATGGCATTGTTTTATTACGTGAAACGAAAACAATTATCCTAAATTTGTTAAACATGGCTCTAATTGTCCAGAAATGGTAGGCCTTATCTACAGGGTTCGACCAATAATCTTAAGCTAATTTCCTTTCCAATGTTAACCAAAATGAAATGAAAGAAAGAAATCAATTATATTTAAAACTCATATTAACTGTTAAGTGTTGGGAATGATTTTTCTCTGTTATTGTTACAAAAGTTCAAATTTCAACCGAAAGGGGGGGGGGGGGAAGGCAGATGACTTACACAACGGAATGTTTTATTGGACTTTTTTTCCGGAGAGGGGTAGCAAGAACGACTCCCACACGTTTTCCGATGTACACGATTTAATCTTGTGTGTGTTATATATGCAATTATAAGCGGTAACAAAATCCGTGATGAAAAATACTTAACCTTAATAAATCTTTAACAGTTGCTAAGTGTGACTAAAAAATCCATGAATTCGACCAAAGTGAGTTCCCCTGATACACAACGGTCGTGAAAAGCAACGGAATCCTAGTTCCAGACCTTAAGCTAAGAGTGCCTTCATTACATTTGTACTTTCTTTTATTCTCACGCGTAACTGTGGAAAATAAATAATCATAATGTTAATGCGAGTGGGGTTTTTTCCTAAAGAGAAAACACTTGATAAAGTAATAAAAACTGTGTTTTTCGAAGGTTTCCATTGTCATATATACATATACTGTGGTTCAGTAATGAAATACTGAATAGAATAATGAAGACCATAAAGCTAATTATTTTTCACACGTAAATATATTGTTATAATGTGATTTAACTATAAGAGTGTCAGATAAAGTATAACAAAAACAAACTATGTTTCTCAATGGTTCCCATAGTCTTGATCATGTAAGTGCTTTTTAGTTTTGCAAACAATAATAAAATACTGATTAGATGTATACAACACTTTTTATAAGCCAGTTCCCTTTACCTCGTATTACCTGTCAAAGTATATGACAGTTTATAATCACTATGCGTGCAGGTAATAATTCATATCAAAGAACAAATCACTAGTAATTACCATCCATTAACATTCTGAGTTATGGGATTACGCCCTTTTATCGCATACAGACTTCTACAAGTACCTTGTGTGCAGAAGGTGAATGTAGGAAAAGATAAATCTTAATAACCCGAGTTTATCACTTCCTTTCAATATCTACAGATTTTCAAACCGTATTGTTTATTTTGTTGTCAAATTACCATGGATTATACTACTTTGTTCTTCCTTTTAATGTGCCTTTTAGTAATTTAGCATTTAAAGGACTCTTTTAAAAGCTACCAAATATCTCCATCCTCATATTGAACCGAACAAATGTCCTTATTTGAAAGATGGCCTTGACATTTATAACTGCACGTTTAAATTAAACAGTTGATTCATCTGAGAAGATGTCTTTACCTATTGACATTGACTTCATAATGAAATACAGCTTTTCAGAACTGTACAATCTATAACTCAAATATTTTCTTCTCTTTTATGATGTTCTGATTTCATGTTAATTTGTGTCCACAATTCAAGTGCAAACAAAGCAAACCATATCATTACATTATATATTAATTAACATATTAATTCTTTGCCTTTGGCATTGAAAAGATGCTTTCTACTTGAAGACTGGTATGCAAGTTAGTAAATAAAATGTTCTGGATTCTAGACATATTCACTGCATCAACCTATAGGACCAAAAAGTGAATAATAATTGGATTTGAATGTGTGCATTTAAAAGATGATTCACCAATCAAAATAAATGTAAGTATCAACCAATTGTCCCGCCTCACCAGGTACGACAGAACGCCAAAACGACGCGTGATATGAATTATGTGTAGATCTTATATTAAGCAAAAAAAAAATTTACCTAGGTAGAGCCGTTAAATACTACAGGCAATAAATTTGACGGTCCCATTCTTCATATTGCTTACGATATTACCCTGAAACAATATCTCACTAAACATAACTAGATATTTCCAAGCTGAAATCACTGTGAACTACTAATGCAAAGAAATGTGAAGATAACGACCATAAATCATCCCCAAAAGTCTTATTAAACAATACATATAAAGAGCAGAGCAAACACAGACCCTTAAAATTATCAGTAGTGGGATCAGGTGCCATGAGGGAGTAAGCATCCCCTGTCGACGGGTTTCACCTGCCGTAAGTCTGCTTTGATCAGGAAAGGAGAAATACATAGATAATTCAGTATGAAATAATGACCTTACATTTTACATTTAAAAGTGTGTATTTGCAAACTAGGTCATTGTATGGATCATAGAATTTTCATGTTGACTTTAAACGAGAATGTGTTACCCCTGTATTATCAACTTATTTGTCAGAAGTTTACAAATAAGTTTTACATTAATGAAACTGTTCACAATTGAATTATAATACGGTATTATTATATGGCTTTGGACACTTTTATATTTGACGAAAAGCATAACTTGAAGACCGGTATGCAAGTGAAATTATTCTTTGAATTCTATATAAATTTACTGCATCAACAGAGGACCAATAGATGAAAAAAGTTTGAGTGTAACTGAATTTTAATGTGTAAAAAAAATTGGGGCTTAAGAGATGATTCACCAATCAAAAGTTATGTAAGCACCAACCAATTGTCTCGCTCCGCCAGCTACGACAATTCATTAATCGTCAAGACCACTGAAGAACAACACGTGATATGAATTGTGTGTAGATTTTATAATAAGTAAAGACATATAATTCAATGCGAAGGCAAATAGATAATAGAGGGAGCATTGGGCACCGTGTTATGTTTACTTAGCGCCATTTTAGAGCTAAGTTCCATTTACCCAATATGATAACAGGATTACAGATTTCAACCTTTTAATTTTTTTTTAATTTTCTTAAAAAGTGATTTCTGGATTAAGCAGTATCAATCGAGCCAACTTTATTCGAGAAATAATTATTATGAATTATCTAGTAAGAAAAAGTTTTGTAAAGCATATATCTAGTACAGTAAAAATTTAAGCTCTGGCTCAAGAAAAGAACGTCTTACTAAAAGGTAATACAGTATATCATCAAATTGTCGCGTCACCTTACTTTCGCTAGATACAAGTAGTTATTGCGTATTTATAAGTCAAACCATTTTTTAAGGAATTTTGGTTATGTTATATCTAATCTTTAATAATGTAAATGTACGGCAGAATGGCAATTTTCACCAAAAATATTCTCACGTACTAACCTAAAATAAAGTTATTGCATGTAAAAAAAATTAGTTACAGTAGCCCTGTCTATAATTTGTAGAGGCCAGATGGACATGCACAATTTCTATGGCAGCATTGGTTCTTGGTCTAAATTCATTTCAAAAAGCACAAATCATGAAACATCAGTTATTCTTTGAACTTGACTTTTTCCGTTTAACCTCTAGGATTAAGCGTTTGGGTAAACGTTAAAAAGATAACGAAGAATCCAAAGAAAATTTTTTTATTGAAGCAATCAATGAATCGAACAAACCTATCGAAATAACCTCTATTTTGGGCCATGTGACCTAAAATGACATCAATAGTAGACAGACATAAAATGTCTTCAATGTGGACATAATGTATTGTCTTGCTTGTATTTCTTACTCTTCCCTTCCCAAACACAAAAACCATATACTTAAAAACATTTGACTTTGTTCACAGAAACTTAATATCTTAAAACGATTTTGTTTTCTAATTGGCTACCCTTATTCAATGAATTACATCCTTTATTTCATCCTTGACCCAAGGTTACTCTAATATTCAGACATGGTCCCAATATCAAAGTGTTAATGCACAATGTTTACCTTTATAAAACCTTTCAAACCATAAGCTCACTTGAGCTTTTGATTCATTGAGCTGAAAAAATCATTCGTTTGAACTTCAATCTGACAACTTGTAAGAGGCATTTTCTCTAATATGCAAGTTACAAATGGCGAGGCGGGAATTTGATCTAATCGAAGAAAGAATTAACCTAATATAACAAGGGCCATTTATCGTAGAAATTCTGAAATCAAAGCAACAGTGACCTACATAAGAAAGCTTATCAGTGAACATAACGCATAACTTAACACAGGAAAAAAATTGATTTCCTTTATAACTGCTATTCCAGCAGCAGTATTTCTGATTTGACCAAATTCAAAGGCGACAGGCCTTTGACCCAAGTAATTTTCTTCGATATTTCGACCCGAGTACTGACAATATAAATGTAATATCATTATAAGATTAATTCAAAATAAATAGAATAATTTAAAAATTAAACTGTGCATGCAAGGTTCATCAAAATGGTGTTAGTACTGACAGTGACATTATGTTAAATGTTGAACATTGTTAAAATATTGATCAGGATATCTTCTTTTTGGTTTGAAGTTGAAATACCAGATTAAACCTTTACATGAATGCGTCTCTTGGTGGTTTAATCAGGGCATTCAGACAAGACCCTGGATCTCTGTATTTTACAATCACTGCGGCGAGTTCATCAAATTTTACTGCAATTATTTTTACATAATTCTGATA